TCTCTATTGTCAATGGGTCAGAACTGGTTACCGACGATCCAGATAAACTACTTACCACAGGCGTCGAATACATTGTCGTCGAACTCTTCTCGTATCTGCTGATGGACGCTTCGGGCGTGCTTTTCCAACACCTACTCGGCCACGTCGTTGTCAGCAACCAGTAAACCCCATGAACCGTTACATTAAGAATGAAATGGGACGGATCAAGGAGAGAAGAGCCATACAGAGAATCTGGATAAGAACCGTTCGCACTTACACTCTCGAGCTTCTGAATTTTGTTCTGCACCATGGTATTCTGCTTGGACTTTTCGCCGTCGGTGAGATGGCTGCCATCTCCGTCTGGGGAGGACCACAAGCGAAGAGAGTTCAAAAGTTGACTGAGACTGTTCAGAAATCTCCGCGAGTTGGCTTCTCGGCTCACTTCTGTGAGTTTTTTGCAGTGAGCCTGAAGTTGAGGAACCTCGGTCTCTTCAACGGACTGGAACCCGGGTACATCGGCTTCTTTTCGCAGGCGTCCTCGCAACCTCTGGTAGCCCCGGGACGAAACACAAAACACGGGAAGAGATTTCGCAACTTCATCATAATCGCGAGCATCGACATCTGGATTGAAGTTGGCAGCGTCCTCTTCTTCGGCGAGCTCCTGGTCAAGCTCTTTGACTCCGGCGGCGAAATCCTGCTGAATCGCACCTCGAGAATATTCGTTGCGGCCAGAGATAGCTATCGCCCTCATCTCAGCTTCAATCTTCGCGTCAGCTTCGTTAATGTCCGAAATCTTTTTCCGAACTTCCTTGATCTGAATCTCGAGATCTTGTTTCTGGCGACGGCTTTCCTTTTTCGTCATCTTGAGCTCTGAGATCTTCTCTGTGATTTGTTCTTTACTGAGGGGGACACGAGACTCTTCAGGCTGATCCTCCTCGTCATCTGCTTGGTCGTCGGAGTCCTTGCCGTCTTGGTCACTATTAGCATACTCGCTATCAGCGTCACTGTTTGGAGTTCGAGCCTTCTTTCGCCTTCCAGACTTCTCATTGCTCGAGTTCCGTTTTCGTTTCTTGGAGGTCGAATTCTCGCGGGGAGCAAAAACAGTCTTCCCTTCCTCGATGTCATCTTTCAAGGCCTCCCAGACCTCGAGGACTTCATCCACCTCATCGGCCGAAGCTGTATACATGGCTTTGGTCTCTTTCATTTCCTCCAGTTGCTGCTTAAGTACTCGCCTTTCCTTAGCAAGTTCATCAGATTTAGCCCAATGTGCGCCCATCTCCTCCTCAAGTCCTAATGACTCCTGACACTCGATGAGGCTTATGTCGTCGGTCTTGCTACAAATAAAGGTAACGGTATTGAAGCCACCATCCATCTTCAGCTGTCGTTTGAAAGTGTCACCAAGCAGCGATTTGGCAGCTTTGTCATCGACTGCTCGAGTAATCGGAGCCACAATCCATAGACCCGTACACTGTTTCATGTAGCCCTCAGCAACAGCGGACCGGGCAGCATTTGAATCGTGAACGCCTGGTAAATCGACAATGACGGCGCCGGTCGATAGTGCCTCAGCTTTGACGTAAAGACGGACAACCTTGATCAGAGGCCAAAATTCCAAATCTCTGGCAGGCTTCTTGTCTTTATCCTTCTCACCCGTTGTCTTCTCTTTGCTATCGACGAAGAATTGGAGCTTCTTGTAGAAGCGAAGAGAATCGGACTCGGCAATTTCTCGCTTGCTACCCAGTACATTTTGAACATTGGGATGCCTCATCAACTGCTCGACTGAGCTATTCTGCAACATCTCCCTCGTAAATTTAGGGTATACAGCCTTGATTTTGGCGTATGCGACGCCCGCCTCACTTTCCTCGTTCGATGCTTCGCGGGAGACGTTGCCACTGCCATCGAACAGATCGTGAAAAAGGACTCTCAGTTCCTTCTCCCAGTCTTCCCGTGTGATGAACTCAATATCGGCACGATAAGGGTCATCGCTGGAGTTGTAGGAGATCTCGGTAACCACCGCCGTGCACGCGCGCATACAATTTGTTGGCACCAATCTCTCCTCATCGAGCATGGCATTGATGATGGATGACTTTCCAGTCCCCGTGTTACCGACAACACCGACAATCGTCTTGGGCTGCGCAGCCTGGCTTTGGACTTTCTCTATAGCCTGGAGCCACTGGGATGCATCTTCAACCGCCACGCGACCGAGGGGCTCTTTCAAATCTTCAAGTAACCTCACTCCTTGTTGTACAGCAGCCTCAAGAAGCTGGGGAGTGCTGTCAGCAAACAGGTTCTGCAGGGAGAGCTGCTGCAGAACCTTGGGCTCAGGACGATTTGCTGTCGCACTGGCATTGACTGGGGCGATTTGGGGCAACAGATTTACTGTCGAAGAATCCTGAGTGAGAGTAGAGGAGGAAGCAGTTGTAGAAAAAGTGTGTCGTATTTGTCGTCCTAGTTCAATCCACATGTTTTGGTTCCATTTGTTCAATCTGTCCCAGTCTTGCTTCATCAATTTAAACGCCAAATCTGAATCAAAATGCTTCTCATAGGCCTTGAATTTGGGTCTGTACGCGAAAATATACTGGTAGAACCCAGCGCTGTGGGTTGTAAACTCACGCAGTTCCGCCAGCAATTGAGAAGTGGGTGCACTGTGGGCGCGAGTAAACAAGAGGGCTCGGTTTTTATACCGTTCGCGGGCATCTGCAGGCAGAATATTCCAGTCCTGAACAAACTCACGCTGATGGCGTTCTGTAGCCAGTCAGCAAGTTGCGTCGTACCTGAGTTATGAAATGGTAGCTCCCTCACCGGGACAATATCCCGCGTCTACACAGCTAGGGAGTATTTCTGTGAGGCGCTCATGAACAAAGCCACGCATGGCACACTCTGTGAGGTAATCCTGAGAGCCTGCGGGCAAGGTATTATGCCCTTGAGTGGGCTCTTTCGCTCCAAGGAGACGTGCAGGCGACTCCAATTTGGTTATACCACGGGCGTTGGGCGGCTTGGGTGAGGGCACTCGATTTTCGTTATTAAAGGACCAGTCTTGAGGCTCAGGCTTAATGCTCGTATCCGACTTCAGTGACCCTACGTTTGCCGGGGCCAGGTTGGAAAGGGGCTCAAGGGGATCCCGTCGCGCTGGGCTTGTACGAGAAGTCAGGTCTGAATCCATGATCGCTTCGACAGCAATGACACGGTCGCCAAAGGTATCCAGTTCCGCAATAGTGTTCATGGAGGCCACGATAACGCCATTGTGCCGGAACACGATTTGTTCGTTGTGGGAAGCTCGTAACAGGTATTGTTTTCTGATATCTTCGAATTTGGTATGCTGCAGTCGATCGAAGGCACGTCAGTATCTGGTCGGCTATACAGATCTTGTGGCTAACTCACGCCGCGACATCTGATCCACAGGACATCTGCCTCGTAGTCGGCATTGTCGGGGGTCTTGTCGTCGTGGAGGACACCCACCCAGAAGACCTTGGGATTCGATAGTTCATCCGGTGTCTGGGACTTGACGTTTCGATGAAAGGCGCTGCCATGGTTCAATGCCTGGTTAGGTTGGTACCACGACGGAAAATGATCGGTGCAACTCTCACATTGTATGGGCCTCCATGCCCCTGAATGACCGGAAGGATAGCATCTACTTATCAAAGAGATGAATAGGACTGTACACAGTTGAGTGCATACTCATCCTAAAGCAGCAGAGAGTACAAGTGAGAGTATTGATAGATTGATAGATTGATAGATTGATAGATTGATTGCTGGAGAGTAATAAGGCAACTACTAGATACATGCGTGTGCTTGGCTTGAGGCCATACAACAAAAGCAAATAGTCCCCAATGTCGCGTTGACGCGTTGAGAGTATGTCCTAATCGGGTTAGCCAGTCTGGTACATGACAGCTGCCTTATTGGGCAATATATCAACCACGTGACAAGGGGCTCCGGTGTATTCAGAAATGAACGGGGTTACATGGCAGTAAGTCTTGCTTCGACGAACTGACCCTGAGAACTGGCTTTTGTTTCACTAACGAGTCTTTAATGAAGGCGTCAAGTCAATAAAAGGCAACAAAAACTGGTAGGAGACTCGATTTCGTCACCTAGTGCACTAGGGGAGAATTTGGTTGTATTCACTTCTCTTCGAGGCAGAATGTAGTGCTCTCATGATTCGATTGTGGTATGACCAGAGTACCTTGTCTGATAACTTGAAAATCCAGAATCGCTCAAGACAATGAATTATCCTCCTTGTGAGATTTGAGCGGACCGAGTCCCCGAATCAGTATAGAGAGGTTATTGAGGAATCTAATGGAAGAATCTAATGGAAGAATCTGGCCCTTTGATTCTGGTATCGCTGATACGAGCCGCTGAGACAGATCGGGCGGATACCAATGCCAAAACAGCCCTCTGAGGCTACCCATTCCTGGTTTGTGACCTTCGATTCAGGCTACACATGCCAAGGAGACCCAAATTAGCCTATTTTCCCCACACAAGCTGCATTGATTTACATCACTTTCGACAGGTGAAACGCAGGCTGTTTCTTCAGCGTTGCAGAAGCAAGGCAATTCGGCAGAACAGGGTATTTCTCCGCACCATCTAGTGCTCAACACTAGAACATGACCAATCCTACGGCTGGACTATTTTCCCCATAAATGCAAGTGCTTTGATGTATCCGTCCAGCTTTGTTGCAGGGGTGCGGGCTATAAGCATTCTGACACATCGTACGCTCTTTTGCTCCACGGCTAAAATCGCTTTCGACCCCAGGTCCTAGGATGTCTTTTGAGCCAATTCGTCCTTGGAAGCTATTGATCTCAGCTCGCCCTCTCGGAGCAAAGGAACAGGTTCTAGATAGGTCATCGGACGACAGGATAGACAAGTGACATTGTATATTCGCATAACGTGAGGACTCGTCTGGGGGGCATCAGGTCTATAAAGAGATCGTCAGGACCATCTTTGGGATACCAGAGGCTCGGCGTTCAGATTCCACAGGCTCTTTCAGATCCCGATTATCTGCCCGTTTCTCAATATTCTTGTCAAGCATGTTGTTCACAGCAGTGACTCTTGCTCTTTTGGGCCAAGCTTTGGCTGGCCCGGTCGATCTTGAAGAACGCCAGAGCAGCTGTCCCAATATCCATGTCTTTGGTGCCCGTGAAACCACCGCACCCGCTGGCTATGGTTCGTCGTCGACCGTTGTCAATCTGATCCTCAACGCCTACCCAGGCTCCACCTCCGAGGCAATCAGCTACCCTGCTTGTGGAGGTCAGTCTTCCTGCGGCGGAGTCAGCTATGGCAACTCGGTGGTTGCCGGAATCAACGCCGTCGCGAGCGCCGTGAACTCTTTCAATCAGAGATGTCCAAGCACTCAACTGGTCCTTGTCGGATACTCTCAGGTATCTTCCGCTCCTTGAAATATTCAAACGCGTCTAATCCTGTGTCAGGGCGGTCAAATCATGGATAACGCCCTCTGCGGAGGTGGAGATCCAAACCAAGGTTACTCCAACACGGCCGTTCCGCTGTCTGCATCGGCCGTCAACATGATCAAAGCGGCCATCTTTATGGGCGATCCTCGCTATATCGCGGGTTTGCCGTACAATGTCGGCACATGCAGAGCGGGTGGTGTAAGCAAGATCTTCGCTTTTCCTTGAGGTGTGATGTTGGATCTAACCGGCCCCCGTCATCTAGTTTGACCCTCGTCCTGCTGGCTTTAGCTGCCCATCTGCAAGCAAGATCCAGTCGTACTGCGATGCTGCCGATCCATACTGTTGCAACGGAAACGATGCCAACACTCATCAAGGCTACGGCACCGAGTACGGACAGGCCGCTCTTACCTTTGTCAAGAGCAAGCTTAGCTCGAGCGGCTCGGGAGGTGGTTCGGGAGGAGGCTCAGGAGGTTCTGGAGGCTCGGGCGGCTCCGGTGGAACTGTTGCCCATTACGGTCAGTGTGGAGGTCAAGGATGGACTGGCGCCACCTCCTGCCAGAGTCCCTATACCTGTAAGGTGGTCAGCCAGTGGTACTCTCAGTGCCTGTGAGCTTGACCGACCGAGCAAGGTAGTGTTTGAAGAATATTGCTGCCTGGATAGTTTTAGGACGTATCTTTCTTCTTCTACTTGCTTCTTTGCGTTGTGCCTTTTTTCCCCTCAGAACCGAATGATCAGCAGAGGACAAATATGAATCGTGCACAGAGCGGACGAATCCAAGGACAGATATCGAACCAAGTAATATGGACTGATACCCTCGATATCTGATGTGGATACTCGTACAAGACAGTAGAGGAAAGAAGGTGGCTATTGACATCGTCTTTGACTAAGGAAATTGATAGCCCTGGTTTGGACTAGGTATAATAATGCGCGACGTCTCGTGCACATATTCCTTTGGGCCATTCCCGATCAAGAAGCATAAGAGAGCTAGACAAGAACGGCATTTTGTTACGTTCTTTCGCTGCCTAGGAGTGCAATGGGGGAAGTTTGTCCGCTGTGGTTGTGGTAGGCATGCTTCTGCATCTGGTTGCATTTCCCGCACCCTTAATCATGGATCTTCCATGGATTTGGACCAATCCATTCATTCTTTTACCATCCGGGGCAGACAAGGCTACATATCCGCCATATGATTCGTCAGGCTTTCACAGCATATCCACAATTCATACCTACCTAGGCCACTGGAATGCGGGGGATTTGCGGGAAACTTGGCCAAAGTAGGACAAAGTCCTTTTCTGCGGAGTGCGGAGACTGTTCAGGTGGCTGGGTCGTCTGGGGTAGAATTCTGGGGTAGGATGGCTTTTGTAGTCCTGCCATTGTCCAATGACCAACATTTTGCTTCAATTGTCATGACAATCCCTGTCCAAATATCTTCAAGGAACTGACAGGTCCTGCCGACCACATGGAACTTGGGGGTCCTGAAGCGGTATTTGTGTCCGCCCCTGTTACGTCTAGAGGTTTTACCATTGAACCAAATTACATCACCACTGAAGGCACCGGCCTCTGTCTCGTCGTTTTCAATAACCGACTGTCGCTATATATATCTCCCAGATAGAAGGGACTGGAGCGAGAAACCTTTCCGTCTTCAGCCATCGTCATCTGTCTAGGTCGATTAGCTTCTTCTGCACTCCACTTGCCATCTCCACCTCTTAATCATGGGTGATGACCTCGAGGCTAGCAAATCCTCCCTGGATCGGAAAGAGTTCCCATCTGCGGAACATGTCGAAGGAACTACCGTCGGTATCGTTCATGCGGTAGACCCTCACCAACTCGAATCCCTGCCTTATGGTCCTAGCGGATTCAAGGGCATCTTCGGCTCGAAGTATGTCTTTGGCGCAGCTTTCCTGGCCTCCATGGGTGGGTTTTCCATGGGATACGACATGGGAGTCATCTCCATTATCAACTCGATGGACAAGTTTCACGCGGTGTATCCGCGGGCCGAAAGTGCCTTTGGCAAGGGATTCATGACGGGGATGTTGCTGTTGGGTGCATTTGTGGGCTGTATCTTCATGCCGTATCTGGCAGATCGGATCTCTCGTAAATGGGCGCTCACGGCTATGGTCATCGTCTTCAATGTCGGAGCCATTCTTCAGACGGCCGCCACCAACTACGACATGCTCGTCGCGGGTCGCTTTATCGGAGGGATCGGGGTTGGTACACTGGCAATGGTATACGTTCTAGTTAATTGGCAGTGATTCCACCAAGGTTAATTGATGAATCTTAGGGCGCACCTCTCTATATCTCCGAAGTCTCTCCACCCCACATGCGAGGCACGCTTCTCGTTCTCGAATCCATCTCCATCACCCTGGGAGTCGTCATTGCGTTCTACATCACTTACGGCACCAGACACATGGCCACCGAAGCCTGCTTTCGACTCCCCTTTGGTTTGCAAATGGTAACCGCAACTATACTTGGTGCTGGCATTCACTTCTTCCCCTACTCTCCTCGGTGGCTTGCCTTGGTCAACCGCCAGGATGGATGCATGTCTAGCCTGTGTAAATTGAGAGGTCTCCCAAGCAGCGACGAACGAGTTCAATTGGAGTACCAGCAAATTATGGCCGAGATCAACTTCCAAAAAGCCGTCCTGGCCAAGAAGCACCCTGGGGCGTCTGGTATCAAGCTCGAAGTTCTCTCCTGGATGGACCTCTTCACGCGGAAAATGTGGAAACGCACTGCTGTCGGCATGGGCGTTGCTTTCTTCCAGCAGTTCTCGGGCATCAACGCTTTTATCTACTACGCGCCAACGCTGTTTGAATCCCTCGGCCAGACCGCAGAGACATCGCTCATTCTCTCCGGTGTCTTCAACGTTCTCCAACTGATCGCAGCCATTGTCTGCTTCCTCGTCATCGAGAAAGTAGGCCGACGCCCCCTCGCTATATTTGGTGGCTTCGGTACTGCAGTGGCCTATATCATCATCGCAGTCCTTTCGGGGCTTTACTCAACCTCCTGGGCTTCGCACACGGCCGCCGGTTGGGGTTGCGTTGCCATGGCGTTCCTCTTTATCCTCATCTACGGAGTTACCTATTCCCCACTGGGTTGGGCTCTTCCATCAGAGGTTTTCTCGACCACGTCTCGGTCCAAAGGCGTCGCTCTCGCCACATGCACCATCTGGTTGTCAGATTTCATTGTCGGCGTTGTCACACCTTCCATGCTGGCTGACATTGGCTACCGAACCTATATCTTCTTTGCCGTGATGTGCTCGCTAGCAGGTGTCTGGGCTTTTCTCCTGGTTCCAGAGACGGGTGGGAAGTCACTCGAAGAGATCGACGAGCTATTTGGCGATTCCAGCGCGAGGGAAGAGTGGGAACTTGCTCAAGAAGCAATCATGACTAGGAGTACCAAATAGGTAGGCTGTTATTTTACCTGTGGCAACTAACTGTATCATCAATCGTATGCTGTTAGGCAAATAGCATGGTTAGGTAGTTTAGTAGTGGTTTATGCTATAACATGAAGGAAATAAACCGCATTATTCTCTGGATCTGTCCATCCACAACTAAGTAAGCGTGCACCAAGCATGTATAACTTTATCTCTTCTCTCCATCTCGCTTCCCATTTCTCGCATTCTGCTGCCCGATTCTGTTTCATTGATCAGATTCACTATTGCCTTCATCATTTCGTTATTAACTATTGGCTTTTCCGTTTCTGGATTCAACGGACATATACCGGGAGGGAAAGGGGTTTAGGCTCTCTTTAGGACCAAGCCACGATGCACATTGCAGGTGAGACGAGCTCAAGGCTCCTGTTTTGGCGCGATATGCATCATAGCTAGCATACATTCAGCCCACTAATTCTCTCAAGCAGGCCACAGGAGCTCTCACCTGTCTTGACTGAGGAGAAGACTGATGTTGATCGCTTTTGCTCATCGGGTTGGCAGAGCGTCTGGTCACTGGTTATCGAGGCAGTCTCGTTCTGCAAAAGAGAGGCCCTCTCCCGCTCCTTTTCCTTCCTTTGTTTATATACCATTTTCACCTGGTCATCGTCTGAGATGCTGCGAAAGTTAGGAAATCCTAAAGGCATGATGTGACGCAGGTTTCAGGAATCAGAAGGCTGAAATCGGGATATTCACAGTCTTTGACAGGACCTGAAGCACAAGGTTATCTGAATATTTACGACTCTTCTGTCGGTGATATTTCCTCGATACTATATAGTATAATGAGACCAGGCGTCCTGGTTGACGTAAGCACAGGCTAGCCCAATCTTGTCCACAACGGTATGACCATATATGAGTCATAGAGGTCAGACAAGTTGGACAAATAAAAACACATCATTGAGGCATCATACCGCTTCGCCTGATGTACATTCTCAAAAATCGACTGTTTAAGTTCTTGAAATGATGACAAATGGATCAGTTTGTGTATAATCCAGTGGTAGAGGCTATGGACCGCGCAGGCTAATAGCGCTCGTATCAGAAACCTTCAGATGACTCACAAAAGACTTCTCAACAAGAAGGCACATACAAGAAAGTCTCTATCTTATTGAGCAAAGATGAGGATGAGGTCTCGATGTCCTTGTAGGATGGCTAACAAGCTTCTCCTCAATAAGCAGCCCAGTCTTGTCTTTAGGTCCACAAAGCTTGAAATTGATAGCTCGGTTGTCAGACGAAAGCAGGACTCCACAGTTTGATCCTTAAACCTGTGAGCATTAATTTAGTGACCTATGGCTGATGCTGTGCTACACGCCTGACTCCCCTCAGCCCTAACTTGGCTAGTTTGATGCGCGACAACAGAATACATACATGCTTCCTACATGGACTGATTGGAGCAATCTACCAGATTAATTATGAGAACTATATAGGGCAGCTTAGCTAAGGCCTAAAGCCCTTATTTCATGAGAGCTTGCAGTAGCATTAATATATGATTGCTAAGGAGTTTGCAAGGTGAGCCTTGAGAGTAGGCCCGCAGATATCTATATGCAATCTACGAAGCATATCACTTTATGATGTATTGAGGATTGTTGTCAGTATGGATAAGTATCATGGTGACGATGCACTCCAATACCTAGAAAAAGGGTTAAAAAAATATAAAAATTTCTCTTGTTGAGAAAAAAGGCTGTTGTCCTTGACTTAATATATCCGGCTTGCCTAGAGAATTTTTAGCTTGCATATGGGCGGCCATATATCTCCTCCCTCATATTCATCATGACAGCATGATCCGAGATCCAGCAACCCTGTACTTATGACACGTTATAGAAGTTTACAAGCGCTAAACCAAACGATGACCAAGATGTCGAGGCCGCATTGCTTGAATTCGAAGGTCATCGAAGCAGTCAATAGCTGGAATGCTGCCTAGGCATTCCCTCCCTCCAAATAAAAGAATGGTCGGAAAGCTTTGAGCCCAGAATGTACTGATTCTTAAGGTCTCCCAATTGGAGCTTCTAGCCTTGCTTACTGGCCGACTATGTGTTCTGCATAGGGTTGATCTCTGCGGAAAAACCCTGTTGTACCTTCCCAGGGCAATTCCGATGACACGTCTACCCAGGATGGATTACTGGTCTAGGAAACCCGAGACGATGAGATAAAGCAGCATGCTGGAGATCCCATGCAAGCCACTTGCATTAGGCTCCCAATGCTGACTGCAGTGAGAGTACCTATATATCTCATCATACTCCAGGTTACTGTGTGTTGGCACTGTTAGATTAGCTGGGGATTTTGCGTTTATTTTGGATTGAGGATAATCTACATGTATCTCTAATGGCATGCAATGTCTTTGAGCTCTCTTTTGTCTCATCTTTAATCTCATTATTCATGGGTTCTTCATTGAGAGTGGAGCATTTTGAGTGGTGTCCTCTGTGTCCCTTGGTCTTCGTTTGAATTCTATTGGTTGAGGGACCCGCAAGGAACAATTCTGGAAGGAATCCAGCCAATCGTAATATAATCCCGGACAGGAACAGCCCACAGACTGCACCAATCATGTTGATTTGATCTCACACGATCTGGAGCTGGACAAGAAAAGTTTGATTTCCGGTCTGACCGCAATTTTGAGAGGGGGATGCAGCTGCAGATCGCTATAGCAAGTCAAAGAGCTCTCCACTCCGGATTGTCTACGAGTCTCCGCGGTGCCTGAACTCAATTGACGAGAATTTCCGAGAGTGATCCCTACTTGATGCAGAAGCACAAGAATCTACTGCGTAATAGATACGATCTTCGGCTGTTATCCGCTGCATGCAAAGCTCCCGTGTTACACCCTTTCAGCCACTTGGTTGATTAGTAATCTGTGCCACGAGTCGGGGAGACGGAATAAAGGATTTTCATTCCAGGCTAGAAGGGAGTTAAGAAAGGGAGGAGGACGACGAAAGTACTTTTGTGTCGGTCTAGACACGTTTCTTCTTAATTAAACGACGGCTGGCTTCTATACTAATTTAGGCCCTTGTCTGCTGGTCAAGTGACCCCAACTCGCCATCCTAAATAATATCGAGAGTAGCTGTGCCGGGCGAATCGAGACCTCGTAAACACAACTATTTTTAGATTAAGCATCAAATGATCAGAAACAGCGGGAAGGCCAGTTATCAAGTTATCGCCTTTGCAGCTGTGGTCCGGAAGTGTTAGGTAAAAGAAAAAGGGGCAAAAGGAAGTTCCTCGGGACTCGGGATTGCCTCAAAGGAGCGGCGATATCGACTTGGCTCTCCTTAGTGATATTCAACCACTTAGCGGTGTACGGGGATAGATGGCCTTAGCCAGAAAACTTGTCAGGTCAGCTGAGACACTAAACAACAGCTAACTGATAGCAGTTCATCAAAACAGCGAATGACAACTCATCCAGGTGAATAATGGATTCGGATCAGGGGCAAACTGGCAGGACGCCATTGCTTCCTGCGGGTCAATTCCTTCGGCTTGTGGGTATCGACCCAATTATTGTTGGATTTGGTCGATGGAACGGATCGTCTACCAAAAACTTTTCGAATTTTCCATGTGTGCGTGCGTGACCACCGAGTCCAGATGGCTCCATATGGTCTGATAATAATAAATGCACTCTACCCTGTCTCGAGAGTAGAGATAGATCATTCATCCCCCGTGAAACCCTCAACCCATCCTCATTTGCATCTCCACTCGACACTCTTCCCGTGGATACACGGGAACTCAATCCAGTAGTCACGATGGCCTACGACTGCTACTGCGCCATCTGCGGTGTCGGCTTTTGTGGAATGCTCATCGAAACTCCCTCAGAAACAGCAACGGAGCGTCGAAGGCGGTGGATTGAAAAGAGATCTCAGGCCCTCCAAGCGGGTCAGTCTATCGACCAGGTTCCCCAGGAGGGTGAAGAGCCCGTTCGCAGTTACGATCCCAAGATTGTTAGCTGGGAAAACGTAGCATGGCTCTATAAGGCATACTGTCTCGGATTCAACCCTCAAGCCGCCTCGGGAAAGGGAAAGTGAGTGCTGGATGATCGCCTTTTGCATCGACCAAGGCGGGTTATCTGACTATTATCAGGACATTTGTATCCGGACCGGGTTATTATGCAGACGTTGTATGCTTCTCCAGCCAAGGGTATATCGACGATTCAGCAGGCTTACGGATCATTGCAGGGAGAGATTGCTATCAAGTCGGGAACTGACGCTGTACCGGGTCAAGACCGGAACGTTTATACCTGGTTTGACCACCCTATCCATCGAACTGGAAAGGACCTCTTCTAATGTCATACAGCTATGGCTCCGGGACTGACGACACCCCCGGACCAGTCATCCCCTTCCACGGATGCTGCTTTGAGATCCTGACCCGCGTCCTCACCGGCTCCACCGATAGTTCAGCAATCGACATGAAAGTACTGTACAATGTTATGACGGAGTTGAGCAACGAATCCTCCTCCGCTTTGCGACTGAACTATGGCGACGACATTCGGCGGGCGCAAGGCCGGTACTGGGAGTGCATCCCTGGCGCAGAGGCAAGCAGCAACGACCAAGCTGTACTATACTCATACTGACCAGTTGCAGTACTGCGCGACTCATCCAACCGAGACATCCGGTTTAGACGACTTTCTTAAAAAGGATATGACCACGGACAGCAAATTCAAACAGTCATTCGCACATTTCGATCTCAAGGGCCGCTCGCCTGCCAGCCCCTTCGGCAAGCTCCCACTCGAACTCGTGTATCAGATCTGCTCATACCTGCCTGGGGATTCGCTCAAGGCATTGACTCAGGCGTCACTGAGCATTCAGATTGTCACTCAGGACAACTGGTTCTGGAAACGATTTATCCAGTGGGATATGCCATGGTTCTGGGAATTTTACACCTCGCAGAACCCCAAGGATTTGCCGGCCGATGTCAACTATAAGCGCTTGTACATGTGGCTCGACAAGATGACCGCTGCTCGCTACGGCATGGACGACCTGGCACTGATTGGAGTTGCGAACCGTCGACGCATCTGGGGCGTATGTGAAGAACTGGCCAGTCAGTACCACAAGGCTGTGGCAGTAGCGTGAGGGGATTACTCGAAAATTTGACGTTTCGAACCCCACATAATGATATGGCCGGTCGGCGGAAGCAGAACCGGCCACCTTCATCCCATTTTTCCTCGGACTAGCGGCACAAAGAGGGATTAAAGCTTCGAAGGATTCAACGATCGTCCACTTCCAGTCCGAATGAGATGATTCAGCCAAAAGAATAGAGCACTGTGGCGGTCGGCAAAGTCCAGAGAATATCCGATCCTGGAACGACTCCAAAAGCCATCATTTATAGCTGATCACGATACGATTCTGTTGAACCCGCGAGGGATGGCATTGATAAGGAAATCGCAGTGACTGGACCAAACTGAGACGGATCTTCCAGGGTAACTCGCATTCCCGGACGCCAAGACGCAAGGCAGAACGTTTTCTGTTTGGTTGCGTCGCTTCGGACCATAGGATTGCCATCTATACAATTGTCGGAGTCGCGGAATAATCGAGACATATCGTTGATCATCTGGGAGGCAGTACAAGGGCAAGAGAGGGCTGAAATAGGTCGTCCTATACCATAAAGGAAGAACATAGACCAATGCTTGGAGTTTTTGGATAGACTTATAGATGATAAAATAGAATTACTTTAGTATTAATCTATTAATAAAGACTATATTCCATTCATTCTATGTGATGCATTTGTGATACTATAAGCTCCGAGGGTGTAATATGTGAACTAAGTCTATAGACTACGCGTGTCGTGCTGTCATATGATCCTCTTGCAGGTCTCTGGGTACAAATCTATTTATGACAGAATGAGCCTCCAAAGCTTGTCCCAATGCTACTCGACTACTGAACTGCTTTTCTGCGGATACTGTAAGACTCACCATTTGTGGATTCGGTCCGAAGTGCCACTGCTTTTTGCTCACTGAGCTAGCTGGATTGTGACTGGAGGTAGAGAGTGTGTGCCCTGATCACTTTCCTGAGCAATCCCAGAGCTCTCAGGATACACCCTGATCCCTTACTGATTATTGCCTGGACATGGACAGTGCAGGGCTGATGTGGAATCTATTGGTTCTTGGTTGAAACCTTGGCTGAGAGCGAGTAGCTCAAAGCAGCTAGATATGAAATGATAAATATTACTGGTATCTAGAGGACATCCGCGTCGTTCCAGTTGACTCGAAGACCATATTCATGTCTGGTCAGCGTCAGTAGGATCCAGAACACCACATCATTCCACACGTCTGACGCCCTTACTTCACTTATCTAGTGTCGACATGCTCGCTGTAAAATCCAGTAAGTTAAGGGGCAGTCGGTGGGACTCGTGCTGGTGGATGTAAACATGAGATTAACAGGAGCGGGTGGCTTTCTCTTCCAGCAAGTTTGAATAATGGTCAGAAAAGAATTCAGCTACAGGCCTTCCCTATGTTTCTGTCAGGATGGAGTCACAAATTTACTATTACCTGAGGGATGTCATGACTTCTGGGTTTACAACGAGCCTACTCGTGGTCTCTTTGGTTTCCTGGTCTTGTGGAATATTGCCGCTGGCGTAGGTGAATTAACATGTCCAATGGTGAAACCTCTAACAAGAGCCCGACGAGATGAACTTCATTATTTATGTAAACTCACGCTGGAAAAACTCACGCACAGTCATCAGTGTCGCGCTTCCCTGCCTGCCCTTGGCCTCAAAGGCTGCTTTCTTGAGCGCTGTAGCTGTCTCAGTCTCCGTAGGTCCATTGCCAAAAAACTCTCCATCTCGCAACTGAGAGAAGATGAACGCATCCCGTTCCTGCTCTCTCCAGTGTGTGCTGAGCGTCTTCATCTCAAACGGGTCAACTAGCGGAATGAATCGTGCCTTTTTACCAGTGACTACAGAGTAATTTAGTGTGAGTGAGTTCAGACGACACTACTGGGCTTCTTCACGCTCAGAGAACTTACCTGACGCAAAAGTGTTCACCACCTCAGCAGATGATGTAATGGCACCAACAGCTTGCACTACCCGACGATTCCAGCGCAGTGGCTGGAGGAGGATACCATGGACCAGATCACCAAAGTCATCAGCAATGCTGATCCAAGGGAAGTCTTCCTTCAGGCTCCAGAAGGGCGTTTTGTAAGTCAGGTAGCCATCTGAGTCCTGCAACAGCGGAAAGCCACCAAATAGGTCGGCGTACTCTGCCTCAAGCATGTTTTCCATGAACCATGCTGCGATGATGGGAGTGACAGTTTGGAAGGCTGGCGTGGCTCGCGCGAATTGCTCAACTTTCGCCTTCACTATTTAGTAATAGGTCAATGGCTGCTTGTAAAGCCACAGACTCTCAAGACTCACTGTCGAGTCCTGGAATGTGGACTGCGCCGTTGGTCAACTCGTGTGACGGCGCTCCGGAGCTGTACACCAGGTGCTGAACTCCGGCAAGCGCAGCGCATCGGACGAGGTTTTTGCCTAACTCTTCGTCTGTGCGTTCGTTACTAGCAAGTTCCTATCGGAAATTAGCCTCAATAGCAAGACAGAGTATAGGGTAGGTGGATGTGGGACGAGGGATGAACAAACGGGGTCCTCAGAGTTGGTATTGACGAAGGCTCCCCAGCCCCCATTGAAAGCGCGAAGCAGGTCAGCCTCGTTGAAGCCATCTGCTTGACATATCTCTGCCCCCAGACGGGCCAGCTCCTTGGCCTTGGCGGAGGTGGGGGTTCGAGTAATGCAGCGTACGTGAAAGTTTTTATTCTTCAGAAGAGAGCGAGCGACAGAACCTCCCTGCTTCCCTGTGGCCGAATAGGTTAGAAAGGAGACAACCTTACTATCTTGAGTGGAGGATGGGATGGCATAGGAAACGTAAGCTATTACCTGTAGCACCGACAACAACCACCACCTTCGAGTCGGCGGTCATTTTTGCTGGGTATCACGAAGGCGACGAGATGGAAAAGGATGGTAGCTGTTGTTAAACGTTAAATCTCGAATTTTCCTGTGATGGAGTTAATTTTACAGCCAACCTGAAAGTCAAGGATAGTGTTATTTATCAACACAGAGAAGGGGTGCCTCCTTGCATACGCCATGAACAAGCCAATTACCTGTCGGGATGACGTGTTCGTGAATGCTGTCTTGAGCCCATGAAACATATTGAAGACGTTGCAGGACCTCTTTTTCCGCGAGTGCCGTCCGAAATGTTGATTCGATATTGCCGCTCAGTTGGCTCCCCCGGTCACGCCCACTGTTGTTGTAAGGATGCATGAGACGTATCACGATGCCTCTTTGGTATGGGGGCGTATGCCAGCGCACATAATTACAAATCCAATCTCAACGAGATAGAGTACATGAATCTGGCAAAATAGCTCAGTATGCTGCGACGATGCCGAAAACAAGGTATTCTAAGCTGAGTAGAGCATACCCGGTCTAGCCCTCCCAACGCAAGCACCAGCTACAATACCTTTAGAGACTATGTTAATCTCCGTATCCATGACTTTGCAGTTGAGTGAGTTTTTATATGCTTTGAAACGGTTCCATCACTGATAGTTTAATGGCAGCGTCGTTGACGCAGCATTAAGGTTCACGTGCGGCATCGATCTCTCGGTCTCTGAGATGAAACCGCTTAGCTGTCTACACCGACTTTATATGATGCACTTCTCACTCACAAATGATCTTTATTCTCACGACGAGGAATTCCAGGACATGCAAAAAAGTGGCAGCGCACTTGTCAATGGTGTTATGGTTCTACAAGATCCTCTTAGTCTTAGTCCTCGTACTGCTAAGATTGTCCTCCGGAGTTTACTGCATGACATGGAAGATCAGATCTACCATGTATACGAGAGCCTCACGGATGCTCGGGAGCTTAATGACAGGCAGCTTCGCTTTCCACGGGAAATGATTTGAGTCCCTTGCTGGCAATACTTTTTAATCGGCAACCACTTATCGATACGCGAAGGCAGTGGCAGGCTCTGCTATCGCGAGTTATCCAACTTCCGTATAAGTTGAATATGTCAAACCACATGAGATAGAGTCCCTGCCAATATTGCTGCAGCTCTGAAGACAACACGTCAGTTGGCACGGTGATATTGGATTTTCATTGATTGGAGATTCCCTGAAACTCGACGCCAGTAACTTTTATGTCGCTAATATTCTCTTTAAAATCTAGATCATCAACGCAATATCCAAGACCAAGTTTAGTTTCACGCTGCCGCTCGTCTTATACAAGACCTTGTCAACTCAACTATTTGGGTATAGTGGCCCTAGTTCTGGATCATTTTAGGGCCTTAGGAAAAGGTGGCACAGAAATAGAGGCCTGACAGGAGAGGCATAGAGGCTAAACTCAAAAAGCCAATTTTGCGATCAACAGCTGATTATTCAGCTAATTATTCAGCGATTATTCAGCAGTCACCACCGTTGTTTCTCTATGATGAGAGTGATTCCGGGTCTCTGATTACAAGTCTATTTAAGACCAAATGAGCCGCGTCTGTTCCGAAAGGTCTAGACTCTAGACTCATGAATCGCCAGAGACAAAATGAGCCTCCAAGCTTGTCCCATGCTGCTAGACTACTAAAATACTAGCTGCGGGGTCAGCGCTAGGACGAAGTGAGACATGTGATGATGTGAGACGGTTGCCTGCGAATTGATGGGCCTCTGTCTTCCGTGACTTTGTTTATAAAATGCCCTACGTTTCACCCCAAGCATCAATACAAGCCAGCAATAAGTCGATTTAGAAACAAGGGCACATCAACATCATGACTGTCATCCAAAGAGTCGCTATTTTCGGTGTAAGACCGACTGTCTAGCGTTCAATATGACGGGAAAACACCCCTACTGACCTCCCTACCGGCCTCTGGCAACTTTGGCAACCCAATCACAGCAGCCCTACAGCGTGCAGGCTTCACGGTAACGATCATCACCAGGACCGAATCGAAGGCGACGTTCCCTCCCGACATTCCAGTAATCAGAACGACTTACACCCTGGAGAATCTCACATCCGCCCTAGCTGGACAGGATGCAGCCGTCTGCGTGGTGGGTCCCGGCGGTATCGGGGCACAAACCGCCATGATTGATGCGGCAGAGGCTGCGGGCGTGAAGCGCTTCATCCTGGATGACTTTGGTTGGGGCGACAATCCCAAGTCTTTGCCCGAGTTCGCCCCCATTCACGCGCAACGTCGTGCGGGATGGGATCATGCAAAGGCCAAGGCAGATAGTAATCCCAATTTTACATACACGGGAATCAGCATTGGGAATCCAATTGATTGGGTGAGCGAAAGCGATTCATTCATACTCACGCCTCAGACTAATCAGCTCTCAAGGCGTTGAAACGCTTCCCCGCGATGGGCTTCGATGTAGCGCACTGCTCGACCATCATCTATGACTCTGGCACCGAACGGTTCACCGGAACCACGCTCGAGGGTATAGGACAGTCGGTAGTCGGCGTCTTACAGCATCCGAACGAGACAGCCAACCGGTTTGTCAAGGCGCAGTCCATCATAACCTGTCAGAACGAGCTGTTGGAAGCATTTCAATCTGCGACGGGGAAACAGTGGGAGGTACAACGAGCGTCCACCCAGACACTCATGGAGAACGGGAAACGCAAATTCCAGGAGGGGGTTAGTGGCTGGATTCTGGACTTGGTGGTGGCACAATTGTTCGATGAGGGTCAATCCCGCTGTCTTCTTGCTCGGTCGCGAGAGGAATCAGACGCGGATTTACTGGGAATTGCAGAGGAGAGTCCGGAACAAGTGGCGGCCAAGGCTCTGGCTTAGAAGTGTGTACTAGGAGAGTGAGATTACACGCCAAGTATGATGTTGGCTTGAAAGCGCCATCACCACGTTTACTAGCTTAGTAGCCCTGAATCAAGTGCTATGTTGACCAAGTTCCAAAAGTACGTCGATGGACAAATTGGCTTTGCAACTGTCCCTCCCAGCATCACTGCTCACACTGATATCTGGAAGCTCTAACAGATCACCTAAGTATCATTTTTAAGGCTAAATAATCGGGGATGTCTTCCGGCAGATGATGGTATTTATCTTGATCAATCACTGGCCAGCGCGTGTAGTTGCCAGTTGCCACGCCATGAGGTGGCTGTGCATACCCTACTTACGCCCGGGCAAATATCTGGGCACTTACCCAACACAAGATGATTAGCCTTCCTCTAGCACGAGCTCAGAAGATGCGTTGCGATTTGATATTTGTCGGGCACCGCCTGGTTGATAATCAAACATCAGAAGACACCAGAGCCTGCCTTAAGGGAGAATATCTTTGCATAAATCACGACGTATTTGTCCTGCGTAGACATTCTAGTGTAGACCTTCTATCTCCCAGATACATTGGATATCAGGCATCGAACATGACTACTTTTCGACTGAACACGGACTATTTTCCGTTCCAAGATTTTTCGTCCAGTTTATAGCATTCATTGGTAAACTCTTTTGTCTAATGGAGTCCATGGGTGACTGTACAGTAGTGAACCCATATCAACCAGACCCCAATATTGCCGGAGCAGGGGTGCGTCTCCCAAGCGTTTTTAAGAAGATATGTACTAACTGGAAGTAGGTAATAAGCGGCTTTATATTGACCGGGATATTGACCTTTATCGCCTCGTATGCAGTTCTTTACCTCCGAAGACGCGGTCCGTCCCCTTCAGCGTCCACGATCCACCAGGAGCAATACGGGAAACACAGAACACTCAACCATTCAGACAAATTCTGGATACGCGTCTTGACTGCTTTTGTGCTTCAGCTGAGTGACCAGCAACTGGTGACCGGACTCTTGCTGCTCGTGTGCGGCTATGCTCAGTACTGGCGATCGTCCGTCCACCACGGCGCCAACAACCTATGGATAGTGACCGATGTGGTCTGCTACTCCAGTTTCACACATGCAGCAACGCTCCTCTCCCTCCGTCCCTACTTCCAGCGCCATCGGAAGCTTGCTACGCTCCGTGTAGTCATCATGTATATCGTTTACGGCTTGTGGCTGGTCGTTGCGGTGCGCATTCTATCGCCTAATAAACCAAAGGATTCGCAGAAACTGCCCTCTGTGGCCAGCAAGTTCTGGCATGCAGCAACTGTGATTGAGGCTATTGGCATTATGTGGATATATCTGCTCACATATCTACCGGTCTTTCTTTCCGAGCAGGCAATGGAGGTCAGAACCATCGTCAGCCGTGTCTCGCCCTCGGCGCAGGAGATCGTCTTCATCCGGGAATGGTTAGCTACGGTAAAGCCTTCGTCGCGCAGCAGTGCTTCGGGCTCTATATGGCATCGGTATAACCCGTATGTCATAGCGAAGTGGTGTATTTTCAAAACTGCAGTAGCGTTCAGCGATAGGTATGTGGAGACGGATTCCAAACTGACAAGATGGATACTATCCTTGGTTGCAGAGGTTATCTTTCCATGGAGAATGGCGGGTGTCTGGCTGGCGCTGTTGTGGGCTTTCAGCTTAGGTGCTCTGATTTACAGTCTGCTCCAGAACGGCCTCACATCATTTTGGGATTTTGGTCAGTTACTCCCCGTCTTCATGATCCTATTGCCGATCGTCAGCTTGATTACATCTATAATTGGCGATGAGAGCGGTTAGGTTCTAACGGGTTGGCTTGGTCTTTCCGCGTCCGAAGCTGGCCGATAGCAGACCGAGGACGTATATAATAAGCAAGTGTGAAGAGAGGGATGCATGTACAGCAACTGGCCTTATTTACTTTCCCTTCCTGTTCTGTGAACATATGTAGCAATCCTAATCCAAGTGTATAATAGTCAAGGAGCGCGACGGACGTGGAGAGGAGGGATCATCCGGTCATTCCAGCTTCGACACTATCTCTACTGACGTGGTAAGATAGAACCTAGGAGCTCAAAGTAAAAGTGAGACTGTTAATTACTATGCCTATTCAGGAATAAGTGCTATATGTGACAGCGGGAACACCAGGATCTCCAGTCTCGAAATCCATCGCATATATTCAGATGCGCTCATACCTTGGAGATAACCTTGCAGGGATGTGCTACAAGCACTGGGAGTAGTACGAGTTGGAGGCCTTGCAAGTGCCCGAGGAGCAGCAAGTAGGACCAGACCAGCCGATTCCACCGCACTGGCCCCACAAAGCAGAGCACTATCACAGTCAGAATAGACAAAGTCACAGCCATGTGGGAGAAGACTTACACTGCCGGAGCCACCAGTAGGGGAGCTGCCCGAGGAAGTAGTAGACGAGCTGCCGCCGCTTCCGCCGCTTCCGCCGGAAGAGGAACCACCAGACGAGACGGTGATGGTCGAGGTACCGCTGCTCTCATATCCCTCAGTGGAGACGATCTGATAGTTATGGGTACCCAGGTTCATCCCTAGGCTAGCCCAGGCCTTGAAGTGATTCGCGGTGGTGACCGTGCCGCTGGACCGCTTGTTTTGGCGGATGGACCAGTACTGGTTGAAGGTGGCCGTGCCGATGATCGAAGGCTGGTTGACCTGTTGGTGCTCGTAGATGTCGTAGGTGGATCCGTCGCTGGTGACGGTGCCCTTGTGCGTCATGCTCGAGCCAGGATTGTAGCTGCCGTAGTTCTCGAGGATGTAGTATTCGACTAGGGGGCTGGTAGTCCATCCATACACGGAGAGGTAAGCATTTCCGGAAGGATTAAAGCTGCCAGAGAAGGTAATGTCACTAGTAGAGAGTTTAGTGCTTTCTTCGTGTCTTCTTATAGTTCTCAGGTGTTACCTACTGATCACTGCCGGGATTCCAGCCCTTCCCACAGGTAAAGTCACCACCGTTCTGGTTCGCCCATGTCACGCTATATTCGCCGCCGGCGCCGTTGGTGTATTGCACTGATCCGGCACCGTTGGTCCAGAAGGAATAGTAGTAGCCGTTGTTAGTGCCTGTCTGGCTGGACGTGATGGTCTGACGTTCCGCTAAGTTGACGGACTTGTCACCCGGAAGAGCATATGCGCCGGCGATAACGGCGAGACCAAAGCTAAGTGAGGAAAAGGAGATCATTTTGAGACTCAATTGTATGTAGGCTCTAATGAATAAAGTGATGATTGTCAAAGTGCTCTGCCAGGAGGGGACAGACCTTCCTTATATATGTTTTTTTCGGCTAAATTTATGTTTTCGCGAACAGCCTAGCTGAATGATCACACCACCCTAGAGAGCAAGCTTTGCTTGGGTGATCTTTGCTTCTCGGCAGTAATGCTTTCCCCAGATTGTACCAGCGGCTAAAAGCTTAGCGGTTGCTCCCCCTCTGCTGCAGAATTACCCCAACTTCGGCAGTCCACAGTCTTCACGGAATCAGGCCCGACGAGACGACACTTTTACCAACAGCCTAAAATGACGGTCTTCTGACAACCCAGATGGAAGGATCTAGAAGGACAGAAGGTCTCAATGCTCGTCACAAACTTACAATTTAGGACCGGTGACGAGCAGTACCTAGCCTAAGGTTATTCTGGCCAGCTAGGAGTTAATCGATATCATTTTTGATGGATCCACTCGTGCCTCTAATCATTCCACTTTCCAAATTAGCCTAGAGAGTAGAGGGAAATCGCTTCCTTGATGAAACATGTTGGCTCCAAGAAATGCCTAGCCTCGGCGGCCGAAGCTTAGTTCTTACTAGGAACTGCTCTCTGTTTGGTCCAAGTATATCCCATTCAAAATGATGATCATAATAATACATAATCTGCCAGAATTATTATTATCTATGTTACTATGAGTCTACATATTTTGCCGAAAGTCCGAAAATACTTGCATCTAGTGGAGCATAACAGCCTGGAAAGGAGAAGGGACGATAGTATGAATCACTTAAGCTTTGATTATTGTGTGCGATTAGTTGAGGATTATGACTACGTAGTACTGAGTCAATATTAATCAATTTTAATAGCCAGTGGCAGAGAGTGAAACCCACTATAGAAGCATTACCGGTGCTGAATTCTTGCCGGACGTTTCATAAATCCCTAGTGGCACAAGACCGAGTCAGAAAACTCCAGCAGTTGGCCGGATATTGATGATAATAGCATTATTATCAAATACATGATTCGTACTTTCCCTCAAACCAAGGCTTTTCCTTTCTATCTTTCCAGCATCTCGACTTTTTACCCCCAAAAGATAAGTACCCGAACATGTGCACAGTCTTACCAGGTTCACTGGTTGTATTGGACTGTAATAAGAGCGTCTGCGCAGAATATATGGACAAGTCTAAATTTGCCGAATCCATTTCATTGCCATGCAATCCATACAATCCATTCCCTTCTTTTAACTAGTTGCATCTGGTGTCGAAACTGGTGTCACCCCTTAGAGTCCATTCTACCAGATCTAGATAGGGATGTTGATGGCTCCAGAGAATCGCTTGCAGTATTCCAGCCGCCGTTCGAATCTGACATCCCATAACAGATATCTACTTATTCCGCTCTGTTAGCGGGTGGTTCTCTTCATCCTTCTGGCGGACAAAGAGGCGAAACAGGCCAAATGTCAGCGCATTGACGGCCGCATACGCAACTTTAACCAGAACATGTTGGTCATTGCGAACTCCCTCCTCTTCGATTTCGGTCGTGCCATCCGCCGCCAAATAAACCGTGTGGTGTCTGGGCAGATACCGACCCGGATTGAACACATTCCATAAGAAAGAGTTGAGGAGCATGAGCGACGCCTCAAAGACATAGAAGAACCACTCGTATCGCAAAAGGGGGCTCAGGGATCTAAGTTCGTCTGGGTCACCGAGATCCACTGACGTATTGCCGACATGCTCCACCAGGCGGTAGATGCAACGGACCAGGATTAACCCCATGCTGATGTCTAGTGTGACCAGAAGGGTCGGGAGAGACCTGCGACGGATATTGGCTTTTGCGCACCGCCACTGGAAGGAGGCCGCTATTGAAACGAACGACAGAACCACGCACAGTTGAAGCGCCAGCGCGACGAGGATCAAAGCTTTTCCCAATCCTTGCTGGTTGCCGGTTGGGTTAGCGTTGAAGGCTACCCCCAGAGCGTTCAATGCCTCGACGAGTGCCATCAGAGCTCCGAAAATGGCCAGGACTTTGCCGGGGGGAAGGGGTGCGAGATTTGGGACGTAGTAGAACATCCGGCCGAGAACGTGGTAGTTGGCGAGTTCGAGGAGGGGGCTATAGGGCCAGACATTCAGTCAGCACGGAGACAGCATTGATCTCATATATAACTCACGGGCATATATAGATAAAAACCTGGCTGAGAATATAGACGAGCAGGTTTTGTGAGCTGTCAGGATTGTATATATAGTGCCCGTCGGCTCCATATGCCCGCATTGCATATCCAACTGTAAACAGCACTGCACACAATGGGTGCAGCCCAATCATTCTGATGCATCTGTAGCGGCTAATGTGGGAATTAGGAAGTCTGCTTGAAGGAAGCCATATCGCAGGAACTCAGGACACCCACAGGCATTGCCAAATATGGCCAACTGCTGAGACAGCAAAGGCAATTGTGAAGAAAACCGGAGCCCCCTTATTAGGAGCGTAGACGTAAAGGCTCCCTGGAACTAGAGCTTGTCAGTATCGCTATCACAAACTCCGTACAATACTGTGGTGGAGGAGGAATCTGGGCTAACCTACCGACTTGCCCGCTTGCCATCATGTGTAGGGCTTTGAAGAGAAAATTCCCAACTTGAACTAAATAGGATTCTCTCTCTTGTCATTCATTTGGCAGTGGTCCATGCCGGCTTATATGGCTCTCCAGTTGCTCTCCAAAGAGAGCATCAGAGTCGGGAGACGCTTTGCCGAATTAGGAAAATAGAGACGCCAAGACGCTAAATACAACCAGGTGACGATCATTCTGAGGCGGTTGCCTATTGAAGGCCTGAAAGAACTGTCGCTCATCTTATTTACTACTCGCGTGCTTACTCCAGGGGAGAGAGACAACCCTTTCACTTCCCCACCCCTGGAGCTTTTTATCGTTCCCTCGCTTGATCATCTCCGATCAAGTACATATACAATGGAGGATAGACAGCGCCACTGTTGGGATTGTCTCCGGCGGTCTTTAGTATGCGACTTTACCAGGCCGCAATGTAAGCGGTGCTCTACCTCCGGGGTCGTCTGTCCCGGATACGACGATACGGAACCTTTCAGGTTAAAGTGGCTTCCTCTTGGAAGGGTAAAATTTCGGAATCGAAAACAGGTGAACAATCACGAAAAGAACCAGGCGAGGACCAAAGCAGAGCGCTCCGTCATTCCCCGCTTCGAGACCATTACTGATGCCCCGATCCTGGCTCAGGCAGCTGACTACTGCAAGTTAAATACATATGTAGCGCCATAGCCAGAAAGGACTAACCTCTGCACAGTTAACGCCTGTATATATCCCGAATTGCTCCCCATCAATGACCTCGGGCCGCACCATGGCGTTTACAGGATCTCATCCGCGCTCCTTCAGCGAGGGGCTGCGCACCCTGAGTACTTACAGCTTGGTATAGTCTGTATGACCCTCAGTCATCGAATGAACCAAACGAGGGATGACCCTCATTCTAAATCCCTAGCGGTGACCTTTTACCGCTACCGGGGACTTGTCATTCGCTCCCTCAGAGGCGATATTAATCAAGGACATAAGCGTTCAAGCGATGTCGTCCTTGCCGGAATTATCACGCTTCTACTCATTGATGTGAGTCGATTTCCAACATGAGAAGCATCCACCCCCTACTGAAGCATGCCTTGCCACGTAAGGCTCAGCAAGGTGCCTCTCCCCACTGGCGATACCACATCGAAGGGCTCCAGAAACTAATCATGCTGCGCGGCGGCATTCGTTCGCTGGCCAGGTCGGCCAGCTTAGCACCACTCCTCCATTGCTTTGTGTTGTACGTTATTGTGCACAAACTGTTCAGTTTGGAGTAGCATACAGCTGACAGCCACACAGTATTGCAGTCATTGGGGATACTTCGTCGCCCGCTTCCCACTTGGCAACGAGTACCTTGCGCCTTGAAGATGATGACTTCATACTAGAGAAGTTTGGTAACGGAGTCTTTGACTTCCAGATGTGTCCCAAGCCCTTGTTCGCCGAGATTATCAGAATCAATCATCTTCGTGTGCGAGCCTGGAAACAAGATCCCGCAGGACTGGAGGATCTCGCCCATGAGGCGTACGGAGTCCTCACCCGTATCAAAGTTTTCTCCTCTGAACAATGGGCCGATTCCAAACCGTCATCAAAAGAGGACTGGAGGATTGTAGGAAAGTCGTACCAGGCCGCCGTGTCATTATACTGCATCCTGTCGCTGCAGAGCCTGTCGGTTCTGCCTCTGAACCCTCTACTGATGGGCAGTTGTGTCAGCCATGGGCGGCTTCTGCAGGACCTGCTCAGTGAGGCCCTGTCATCCCCAAGAATAAAAAGATCCATACTATGGCCGTTGGTCGTGCTCGGGGTGCAAGCTGTGTATGGCGGCGCAGGGATGCGGGCTTTTGTTCGAGAACACCTGCCGGAGATGAGCCGCCACATTGGCTCATATGTCCCGCTGACGGCTCAAGCCGTCCTGGAGAAATTCTGGGCTTCAGGCGAGACGTGTTGGGACGCTTGCTTCGACAAACCGTACTCCGTGGTGACGCAGCTTGCGGTGGACCTCAGCCAATTGGACTAGTAGAGCAGCTGGGTTGTACCATGTACATCGCTACCTACAGACTGGCTATTGTATTTTCGAGATATAATCAGGACCCACGCCTATCCTGTTCTGGATTTTGGGCCCGCGGTCCAATTTTGAGCAGCCACAAGGTCGTCGGTTTGAATCATGCCGTAGGCTCCCTTGCCGCTTTACAGAAGCTCCTTGTCTGTTTTGGTCAAGCTGTGTCGCCGAACTTTGATGGGCTTTACTGTAAAATGAACGGATACATATGGAGGGTTATACCGTAGAAGTCAATCTTGATCCAAGCACATATTGTCTGGAGTACTGGCAATTTCAGCTATGGCATCCTTTGCATTCTTTTAGTCCAAGTGGGCACGGCGAATCGATAGCAATCTGTCCATTACTCTGCGCAATAAACAATTCCAATAGAATATAATCAGTTTTACTGTTATATATGATATTCAGATTTTGTATATCATTATTTTTATGACCTACTCGAATCCAGTAGAGGGCCTCACGGAAGGTCCTTTCTGCTTGTAGCGAAACATCGAGGACTTATTCTCACGGAGATGTCCCGTTCCCACCCTCTTTCGCTCTTGATCGAGGAACTGGGTCAGAATACCCTTCTACGGGTTGGCGGGTCCTGATGCGACAATTGAGCTCTGTTCCCTGATACGGGAGTCCTTTCAAATGTCAGTTAGATAGGCTCGGTGGAAGATTGCAAGCAGTGCAGCTCTCCAACATTTCAGTAGCTAACAACCTAATCGGAGCGCCCAGTGGGTTCCTGCATTATGTCGAGAAATACGATTCCAGGATAGATTTTAGCGCCAGCGCTGAAAAGAGTGACGCAACGATTTTACAAGCTTACTCGAGCAGCCATGGATGCTCAAGCAGCTGTCGTGCCGTCCAGCGTTCCTCTGGCAGCCACTTGAGCATTGGGCTCATGGACTGGAGATACAATTCTTTCTCTTGTCCAGAAAGTCGCTTCTCCAGACTCTCCAGAGAAACCAATGGTAAGGCTGCATCTTCATGTGCAATCCATGCGCCTATATGTGCATTAGCAGCAGATCTGTGGCCAAGTCAATAATACTTCTGGTTCCAAGGCACGGTGCTGACCGCTAGGGTCAAAACACTGCTCTGTTGTCTCACTGCGTTTGATAAATTTCGCTCGGCGGTCGCCCAATCAAGGCGGCCATCATCGCTAGATGCTTGAACGGGTCGTGGCACCCCTTGATATCGAATATATCCCCCAAAAGATGCTCGCCTTCAAAGAGGTCCTAAATCTACGGAGTGTGATCAGTGATGTACAACCATGAGGCGGATTCACGAGCGCCGTACTCACCAGACCAGCCAGGTTCCAGATGTCCACAGCACCGCCCCACGGCATTTCAAATATAACCTCAGGGGCTCTATAAATGTGCGGTTGAATGAACGGGCCGGATCCTGTCGTTTGCCAATTCGCGCCTCGCCAAAGTCGCACAGCACAGGAAGGCCATAGCGTTTGCCTCCGGTAGGTCGGCGAAATTTTCGGCTCTTGTATATGGTACGAGAATCGTCAATGTTCTTCCGAGGACTAGGATCCTCAGCCTCCGCTTTCGCACAATCCAGTAGCATGGTTTCGTCCTCCAGAGTAAGCATTAGATTGTCGGTCTTCAAATCTAGTTCTACTTAGTATTGAGCTCCCCAGCTACATCAATAAAAGGCCGCGTACCAGTGTGAATTATCTCAGCTTCTGTATGCAAGAAGTCAAGGGTCAACAGAAGTCGTTTAGCAGTCATTTTAAGCAGAGGGATGTCAAACGGTCGCAGATTCAGGCTCGTCATTTCAAGAAGCGGCATATGCATTGGCTGCATCACCAGGCAGCGGTGCTTGCCGACCGGCCCTTGAAGATCTAATAAATCATACAGCTCGCGAATCAGCGACTGGCCTTGGTGCGTACAATTGACTTTCGAAAGGTGCTCATAAATCTTTAGCTCGCGATCGCTTGCTGTAGGAAACGTTGGCAGTGGCGTGGACACCTTCAGTACTCGATATTTGTCGCCCCCGAGGATAGTTAACGCAACGCTTCCTGGGTTCCGCGTGGAGAAGACACCTACTGAAGGTCCCGGCATAGCCAACTGGTCGAGTATGCTCCATAGCCAAGCTTGCCCGTGGTCTGGTACCTGGTTTCGTATACATCCCCGATATGGACCGGGAAATAATGTTCGGGTTTATAGTGAGGTAAGTCTCTTCCTCTATAGGCGTTTCTAATGGTAGAGTAATATATGAAACGTTGGGGCATAGCTTTGAGGATGAGGACTTGAGACGAAGGGTGCTTCTCCACGTGTTCAAGAGTGATGTCGTGCTTGCAATGCAAGCATGGCTCGGGGACTAACTGGAGAGTATTCAAATTGAAAGAGGATAGAGGTTATTAAAGCTCGCCAATCTGAACGATGAATCCAAGTCGAGACGTACCAACGCGACATCATCAAAACAGTCAGTTCTTCCCGGCAGGTCTCACAGGTCACATACGGACATCACCAAGCTTACTACGAAGAAACAGTAACAGAACAGTTGCTGACACCACGTGATCCAACGTAAGAGAACAGGCAGGAGTCATCTGTATATTCACTTGGAAGTTGTATATGCACCTGTTTAACAAAGCCGGGTTGGTATCCGCAAACAATCCATGGTTACGATATGCTGCTTTGCTGATGACGTGGAATGCGCTTGGACCATTGAAGCAACAACTCTCACTCCCGCTCCGCATATCAACGTGGACTGAATACATTGACTTACAGGGAAAAATTGACATGGCTCCTCTGTCATTCCAGATCATGTCGGATCTTCATCTCGAGACCCATTCCTCGTACGATGATTTCCAATTTCAGAACAGAGCATCATATCTTGCGCTCCTCGGTGACATTGGACATGTAGCGAACGAGCAATTATTCATATTCCTCGAATATCAGATCCAACGGTATCTGATTGTCTTCTTCGTTCTTGGCAATCATGAACCATACCATATGTCGCTCCAGACTGCAAAGAAGAAGATGCGAGCCTTTGAGGCAAAGATGGAACAGACGCGGATCTCTTCCTCCAGAGTTGGACGCTTTGTCTTTCTGGACCAAACTCGCTACGACATCTCGGATACGCATACCGTGCTTGGATGTACCCTCTTCTCTCATGTCACTCCGGAGCAGGAGTTTTCCGTCGAGTCCCGAGCGGTCGATTTCAAAGATATCCTTCACTGGACCGTGGAGGATCATAACCTCGCTCATGAGTCGGACGTCAAATGGCTAAATGCCGAGGTATCCAAGGTTGCAAAGGAGGAGCCCCAAAGACAGATCTTCATTTTCACTCATCATTGCCCATCCATGGATTCCCGTTGTATGAGTCACAGGCATAAACATAGCGATGTGACCTCGGCTTTCATGACAGATTTGTCCTCGGAGGAATGTTGGATGGCCAACGCTGTCAAAGCTTGGGCCTTTGGCCATACGCATTACAACTGTCAATTCACGGATGAGAGAGGCAAGGTTGTTCTGGCCAACCAGAAGGGCTATCAAATGTTTCCTCGGAAGTCCTTTGATGCAGGAAATGTATTTCGGCTTGGCAACTGATACCAGCGAGCAATTAAGATACGGATTGTACAGACGGTGTGCATCTGGATTTTGTCAGATGTAGTTCTTAGCCACCTCACTTTCGTGGATCGAAGAATGACTTCAGGACAAGTAGTCGACTATCCTCCATTTAATTTCACTACTGAGGATTTCTGTGACGATCCTTTAGAAGTTTCCTCCCATTTATTTTTGAAATCCACATTAATCGGCGAAAGTCAATAGTGGTTGGGCATATTACGCGGGATGGTCGAACTATATATATCATATCTTCCGTGAGGTTGAGCAGGCATCAGCAACGCACAGTCAACTATTACTTAGTGAGTTAAATAGAGCCAGTGCAGAAGACATCATTTCCAAAGACTCACCGAGGCCCTGAGCCATATTTAGTCTTTAATTAGCACGATCATCTCGTCCGTACTCCGTACACAAATACACGAAAGCAAAAGGAGGAGAATCCAGTTGCTTCGTCAATGAAAATAAGGCAACTACATTCAACAACTGGTCGCTTAGCTCAGTCGGTTAGAGCGTGGTGCTAATAACGCCAAGGTCGCGAGTTCGACCCTCGTAGTGACCATTTTTTTCACTTTCTTTTTTTGCGACTCTTCCGAGAATTGTTAGTCATCAGTTGCAATTTCGTCATCTTACCTTGCTTATTGCACGTCAGGATACATGCAGGCAGAATCGAGGGCCGAAGTCCATTTTGTCCGTCACTGGCCGTACATGCTGGAGGCCCGCAATGTACTTGATAGCGTGGTATTCCCGCTCACACATGGTGGGTCAATGGGGTTGTTGGACAATAAGGCTCCACGCGGGCCGATCATGGATTATCGACAGACCTACAGAGGCTATGATCAGCATGGATATACTGCATCATTGAATATTTGTAATCTGTCCATTCGCCATCACCCCCAGTTCATCTGTCTGCTGGGTAGGAGCACCATCCAAGGTACCGCCATCCGGGGCGCTGCACAATACGTATAGTATGTCATTGAACAATGTCTGATGTAATCATTGAATCTGGACTCAGACATCATTGATTATCAATTTGATTATCATGTCCTGATCGTGTGACAGATGTGATGCCAGACTCCAGCTGCCGTCTCCTATCCGTGGTTCGACCAATGGTTTTCAGCCATCCCGGGCGATGATTTCATGACATTCGGGCCTCGAGTCACACCACAGGACAGCCAAAATGGTTTAAAGGAGCTCTTGAAGTGTTTGATGCAATTATGTACACAAGCTGCAACATCTCATATTCCATTGATATCGAGCTGATCGCACACACCAACAACGTTCAAAATGGCCTGGGCTGCAAGAGATGCGCTCCGCCCTTTTCTCCTCTTCTGCCGTCTGTTCGCATGGCTGAGTGCTGTCATCGTCATGGGCATCACGGCTTGGGCCGTGACCAAGAGGGATAGCTACCGAGTGATCTATCCGCTAGTGATTGTAGGTCTATCGCGCCAGATGACGGGAAATAGGGTTCTGACTCTTGCAGGCTGTTCTAACAACAGCGTTTTATATTCCTGCGATGGTAGTATCAGCTATGAAACGTAACCGCGGATACATGCTGCCCTTGGACATTGTCCTTTCCTACTTGTACGCTTATATGCTTCCCTGTTTCTTGAGACGTGAGTACTAAAGAATAATGATCAGATGGCTTGCAGCATTCATCTTCCTTGCTCAGCACGTTGGGCAAGCAAACTGTCGATGGTTCTCTTTCGGTGTCTCAAGCTCATGCACCCGTAAGAGAACTGCTGAAGCCTTCTCTTTCCTGGCTTTGTAAGTTGATAGCTGATGTGTGGAGTGCAGTCAAGCGTGCTAACTCACGTGTGCAGCTTCTGGACGCTCTGCGCCATGTGCTTTGAGATCTTCAATTTCTACTATAGTGGAAGAGAGGGACCACTGGGAACGCACCCACATGCCGAAAAACATCCTCATCCCGACGCCGGCCGTGCTCCTGCAGATGGGCCAGCAGATGTGGCCCAACCGGCTGCTTAAATAACAGCTTAATTATTGACATTCCAGGATTCGTTTGTCCTCACCGTACTGCTGTACTTGAAACCTCTGAAAGCTGGACTCGATGCTTTGGACTCGACGTACGGAATGTCCGCTTTGATTGATTGCGCTGATACTCCCGAGATTTTAGTTCTGGGCCAAGCAGGAAAAGTGATGGTGTTCATCTGTTAGGATAATGCCCATTAATACTTAATTGACTACCCAATAGTGAGACAGTTTGCTTCTTTAAGCATCCACTGTTTGATAGTGAGGGCTTGCTGGTCTAGAGTCTACCGTAATGTATGAGTAGTTATGAGAGGTCAGAATTCCGATCAACATTGGTGTCCCGTATCCTATTGACTTGAACTGAACGTGTCACGGAATTTCAAAATAAATACAGCAAGTCCAGGTGACCAGTTGTTCAGAGATCCGGGAATGAGACGGTTGACCTGCGTGGGAAAATGAGTTTCGCTTTGGTGACGAAGTCCTTTAGGATAAACGTGCTGACGACTGCGCCACTACCATGGATGAGCCATACTCGGTTCTATTTATGCCATGAGTTCCTAGCAGGAACTACTCTCATAGTATATACCCAGTGTCCGAGTCCTAAGGCAGACAGTCTGAGCATCTCCCCTGAGTGCGTAAGGCGCTTACGATTCTAGTCCCGCAAATTGACCAAGTGGGGACCCACAAAAAGGTCTGGATTCAAGAGTCGAGACCACAGTGGGTAATGAAGATAAATAACGCTGTATTATTGGTTCAATCGCTTAAGAACCGCTCCAGTGCTTTGTCAGTTTCCCATTCAATTGGCTGGGTTTATGAGGAAACACAAGAGTCGTCCGTCCTCGTATCATGTCCTGAACAGCGTCAGCCTCGACAGATATAGATGCGAATACAGAACGTCGAGTAAGCCTCCAGTCACGATCCAAATGGACCTGATCGATGAAGACGGGGCTGAAACATGCTATCCACGTGTATGGGCTGACCGTTTTGATCAAGTGTTCGCGATATCCATACTCCACCATGGGGTATAAATATAGCAGGGGCTGCAGGGCATGCTACGACGCTGTCGACCGCTCACGCAAAGCAAGCAGTCCTTACAGCCTTTTTCTTTATAGAGTTATTTCCTAAACGAGGTTGATCCTCACACTCTCCTTTCTACTATCAATTGCCATTGTGCACAGTCTCTCCTTAAACCTAACACTCCTTTAGAATCACTATGTTCTTTTCCAAAATCCTTGTCCCAGCGGCCTTTGCGCTGACTGTCTCGGCCCTCCCGCAATTCTATCCTGGTGGCAGCATGACTAGACATGATGCCACTACCACCTCCAGCACAAGCATCAGCACTACCTCCCCTTCCGCCAGCCCCAGCGCTACAACCAGCAGCAGCAGCGGCAGCGTCCAGATTGTAAACAACCTCGACTCCACCGTCTACCTATGGTCCACTTCCGATACCTCCAGCGCCATGCAGACCCTCGAATCTGGTGAGACCTACTCCGAGACCTACCAGACCAACTCCAACGGCGGCGGAATCTCCATCAAGATGGCCACCACCGAGAGTCAGGCCAGCGTCCTCCAGTTCGAGTATACCAAAGCCAGCGACACGCTCTACTGGGACTTGTCCGCAATCGACATGGACTCGGACTCGCAATTCGTCACAGCGGGATTCTCGGCTACACCTAATGACTCGAGTTGCTCATCCGTGACCTGTGCAGCTGGGGACAGTGACTGCAGCGAGGTGTATCAGGAGTCGGATGATGTTGCGACGCAGAGTTGTTCGGCTACAGCGGGAATTACGGTTACATTGGGTTGATGGAATCTTGCGCACTGGTCTGAATGGGGTGACATTCATTTCTTCGATGGAGGTTTCCAAATTATTTTTATTTTATGGAATATTTATGTTTCCATCAACCAGGGGATAGAGAAGAGTAAGCCGGTCTTGCTCGATTATAGTGGAATGTTTGCGGTTACGGAACGTGCATTTACATGGTGGACTTCTGCTTCATCGTTCATTCTTTACGCTGTAGAATAGAACCTGATCTTAAGCAGTCTAAACCTTCCATAGACTGCTCCGAGAGACCTCTAAGGTTAAGGGAGGGTCTACCTGAAATATCTCACTGCAAGGATCAAAGTATGGTTGCGACGCCGCATCAGTGTCTGTCCTCTTTCAGATTTAATTTACCACGTAGCCCGTCTGAAAAGCAAATCATTGAAAATAGCTAAAGTGATTATAGACCCTGAGAATATCACACATTCTGCACCTGGCAGGTATGTTCGTCCATCCCTATCCTCCGCACTGACCAGAATGGGCCGCGACGATAATCGAAGCAGCAGTCGAATCGAGTGCTCGTGGCGGAGTTTTCGCCTACGACAGAACCACAGTCACCATCGCATGTCCAGGAACATTGACAGTAGCTGCTCCTCCACTAAGTGACACCGTGGTTCCGCTAACGTTATTGTGGCTGTTATCCGTGAGATATGCCTTGGCCGAACCAGCTGAAAACCCCTTGACGGTGACCGATGTCGCCGAAGACGCACTGTTGATCATCTGCACCGAAACAGTGCCATCCTTGTCCTTGAATGCAGTCATATTGAGCGTCGAAGTGGACCCGGAGACGGCGACGCGCACCGCGCCAGGTCGTACAAACCGACTCCACTGCGCAAACGCCCACAACCGCCCGGATGGAATGATACTCGTTCCATCGGTAATCACCAGGCACGAGTTGGTGGTATCTTTCTCGAAGCCCTCCCAGTACAGGTACGCGCTCACGCCGCCCTGCGTGATGGCCGTGTAGATCTTCTGCGCCCAAGTGAAGCCCTCGCCTTGGCCCCCGTTGGAGTACCAGGTTGTCTCCCACGTGCCCTTATCCGAGAGGTCGGCGTTCTCGGTCTGCCAGACGGGGATGGAGGCTCCCATGGGGCTGGTCGGATCAGACGAGTACGAGTGCGAGGTGATCCGCGAGAGAAGCTTCTCGACACCGGCAGAGATGAGTTGTGCTGTGCGAGTTTGCTGCGCCTTCCAGCCCATCGCGTCGCAGCAGTTGATGCCCACGTGGCTCAGGCCTGCTTTTTGCATGGTGGGATGCAGCACTTTGATAAAGTCCGCGGCCTGGATCCCGTCCGAGAGCATGGAGGAGTATGCTGTCCTACATATCGTCAGTATTGACACGGCTGCTGAGCAAAGGCAAGGGAGACATACTTGAGATCCGGCTCGTTCAAGAAGCCGACGTGCGTGATTTGCAGTCCCAACGCCGCATAGTCCTGGATGTACTTGACCAGGTAATTTGCATACGCCTGTCTCCAGTCACCGCTCGCGCAATTCGCTCCCGTGACACCACACAGATAGCCCCCGTTCGCCTGGTCGTTGTTGGTTTTCATGAACCCCGGGGCACTCCACGCATCGGCATAGATGGTCTCTACCCCGTATTTGACGGCCTGTTGCGTCACCCACACCTGGTTCGAGTCCGTGCCGAGATCCTTATACTGCGGCGTGGCGTTCGGTGAGCCAGGGGATGTTGGTAAAATGCTGTCGCCGCTACCAGAGCCGATGCGGTTGCGCAGGATGGTCATGCCGGCTCCCTTGGTAGGGCTAAAGAGGAGGTCCAGGGCGTACTGGCGCTGGTCCGCATTGAGATTGATCAGGTCGTTGGCGCGGCCAAAGGCCTGCGAGAAGCCGAACCCATCCATGGTTTGGAAGGTTTGCCCTGTGTTGACGGTTGCCGTCAGGGCGTTGGCCACAGCGGCCAGGCCAGCTAAAAGTAGGAGAGCCATTTTGCCGTTGTCTTGTTTGTCCTATCCCATCTATGAAGGAAGAAAGGAGTTATGGATTCTTATATATATGTAGACCCCGTAGATCCCGCTGGATTTGTCACGGACGGCGCCCCGATTTCCCGAGAGCGCCGTCTGAAGAATTGGCTCCATGGAGAAACAGAATCAGGCTCCTGTGGGGTAAAGCTTGAATATCTTAGCCACCCAGGTCGGGACTCCACATTTGATGGAACGGAATCCACTTGAAACCGGAAGGGAGCCCGAGATACTCTTCAGATGAAACATCGTGTTCCATTTCGGGATTAGACTCACGGATAAAATGCCATGTAGGGAGGAGGCTAGTTTCCAAGAACCGGATGGAACAGGCTCAATAGCCTCATTTATCCCTAGATTGCGGGGTCGATAAGGTTCGTGCAAATTGCAGAGGATAGCATGACACCGTCGGCATCCGAGACAATGGAATTGTGAGACAAGGACTGGTGGATAATTCGCTGATATGAAGGTGTGGATAAGTCTGGTCTGAGGATCATCCGTCCGTCATCTTGGGGTTGCATTTTGTCTCAGAACTATAACATTTTTGCAGTGTATTGCTAACCCTGCAGATCCTCCGTCTCCTTGTCACCAGACGCGTTCGCTAGAGATGTCCTGCGGAAGGAAGATGTGGGCTTTACCTGCAGCGTGGAGGTGTAGATAAACTGCTTGTCGATATCGTCCGGCTTGCTCCCCTCTCGTTCGTTGGCACGGACATCTCGCCGATCTCATAAGCAACGGTCTGGGCACGAAAAGGCTCACATGGCCAATGCCAGTGGGAGCAGTAAAGAAAGGATCAGCTTATGGATCTGCACGCTTAGACCACCAGAACATTGACACAGTTCCGAAGAGCAACCTTGATATCGTCCAGGATGGTAGCGCTTTAGATCCTTGAATTTGGCACACCAAGTTGGGCGGATGCTCCAGCAGAGACAGCCTCGGGAACCACTTGACTATACTTAGTTTATCTCAATTTGGTTAATACGGATACATTAGGTAATATCATATATAAAGCATGTTGAATATATACACATGAACGGCTCCTTTAAGAAAACACATCTCACTTGATATGGACTGATAGATATCGCCCTCCTGTCCGCAGCTCAAAGACAACGCCCTCGGAGCTCAGAGGCTTGGACAGCTACTACTCCCCGCGTAGGATCTGTGCACCCATTTAGCAAGATGAGACCCGTATATGGTGAGACCTGGGCCAGGCAAAGCCGTTAACCAGGCAGACATCGTTGGGGTCCCCGTTTGATTTATTGATGGCACCAGCAGGGACCGTTAATCCCGTCGGGAAAGCAGGTGTATTGCTCGGCTAAGCCGGGACAGCCGTCTGTAAAGTATCACTGTGTGGAGAGTACGAGCGGAAGGACTTTGTCTTGGATTTTGAGGCTAAGGAGCACTTTCTGTCGAGAAATCGGGAGAGCAGCATCTTGAAAATGGGACGCTAGAGCATATGGGTAGGACATGGAATGTTTAAAGTAAAATATCAGTTGTAGCAGTGCGATGGGGCTCATGTTCAGGCGCGTATATCCCTATATAAAAGTATCAATGAACTGTCCTTTTTAAATAGGAATGAAACCCTAGGTTGTCACTGGCTATACTACGCGCTGGACCTTTATGTGTGAGGCGAACAGTGCAGTGATAGTAACAGCGCATAAGTTGCCGTTAGTATCGAAAATTATTCAATTATAAGACGGCCATTAATGAGACAACGCGTGTCGCCAGTTGCGAGGCAGATTCACTATAACCGCTTATTAGAGACACCAACCTATATCTACTCGACCTTTCACTAGTTATCACAAAGGTTGAAAATAGGCGCTGGGAGACGGAGAGGAAAAAGCTGTCACAGGGACTTGATGCTGGGCGCGTACACAGAATTCAACAAGGAATCTTCCACCGACGAGTCAATCGCACGAGATTTGAGAGACGTATGATGACCTATAAAAGCTTCAGTCTCACTCCCTAGAGCTCTATGGAGGATGATATGTTAGCTATGTCGGATTGTCAGATGCCCAAACAGGGTTGCCGTGGTGATTGATTATCATGCAAGGCTGACAGCTGTCTGTGTTTCAAAGCATATATATTTACGCGCCATCCCCTAAACAGCGATCCCTAAACTTTCCCTAAAAGCCATCTTCAATATTCTGCGGCATTTCACAGTGACAAAATGACAGATATCGAAAATATCGCGAACCTCATCAAAAGCGGCCAGGTGCACAAGATCGTCGTGCTTGTTGGCGCAGGCATCTCCACCGCGGCCGGCATACCCGATTTCAGATCGCCCGAGACTGGCATTTATGATCGGCTCAAGCCCCTTAAACTGCCCTATCCAGAAGCCATCTTCCACATCAACTACTTCAGCCATACCCCCGAGCCCTTCTACGCCATCGCGCGTGCCAGGCATCCTCGCGCCCTCAAACCGACCATCACCCACGCTTTTCTCGCTCTTTTAGAGAAGAAGAACCTTCTCCATTTTGTGTTCACTCAGAACATAGACGGACTGGAGCGGGATGTCGGTGTCCCGGAAGACAAGATCCTCAATGCACACGGGAGCTGGCGGAATCAGCGCTGCTGGAAGTGCCAGACTCCCTATCCAGATGATTTGATGAAGCAAGCAATCAGCACAGGCACTGTCCCTTATTGTCAAGTCCCTAACTGCGGGGGAGCAGTAAAGCCCGACGTGGTGTTCTTCGGACAGTCTCTCCCTGCGGAGTTCGAGGTAAAAGAAAAGGAAGTATCCGAGGCTGACTTGATGCTTGTGATGGGGACCAGTTTAAAGGTTGCCCCGTGCTCGAGACTGCCGCCTTTGGCCCGTGAAGGCGTTCCACGGGTGCTTGTCAATCGCGAGAAGGTAGGAGACTTTGGAAAGCGGGCGGATGATGTGTGCATCTTGGGTGATTGCGACGAGGGGGTGCGCAAACTGGCGGATGCCCTTGGTTGGACTGAGGAGATGGAGTCTCTGTGGAAGGAGGCCATTGCGGCCAAAGAAGCAGCACAGGAGGATTGGGGAGAGGAGGAGAGTCTGGATGAGTTGATCGACAAATACGCGAAGACGCTGACGGATGCAAGGAAGATTTCTGATGGGCATAAACGAATGTTGGAGAACCACCTGGAGAATAAGTTTGCCGGTGTCCTCAACAAGAGCAGATAGTTTATATTTGGTTTTTCTTTCTTGATAAGCCCTAGTTATATTGGTCTATATGATCTACAGGCGTGGATACGAATACAAAATGGTCTTACTGGTTCCATCATGTAAAATGAGTCATACACTGAACACTTTAAAACTGTACTGATCTGCAACTATTCGTCAAGCAACTTCTACAGGATTCTCTGCTGAATTCACATTCCCATCATGAGTCCTCTGTCGGATGCTATAGCTCGCCTTGGTCCTCTCATTCAGCGCACTTCCTCGGATCCTCGCCCGGTTGTCTTGATGACCTGCGCAGTGGCAGGTAACTATGTCAATACATAACCTTAGATGAATCTGCTGACTCAGTAGGATCTGGAAAGACAACCCTCGCGAAATCAATCTGCGCTGCCTATCCATCTTTCGCTCGTCTCTCCATTGACGCATATGTTCACTGCCATCATGGCCTTTGGAACGTGGACTATCCCAAGGAATACTACGAGAAGTACCAAGACGAGGCGGAAGCAGCTCTGAAGCGGCAACTTGTCCATATTCTCCAACATGACAATGCAAACGTCGTTCTAGATTTCTCCTTCGCATTTCGCAGAGATCGTGATGAGTGGAAAGCGCTCATCTCAGAATCGGGTGGGCGCTGGGTGCTGGTTTATCTGGACGCGGATCCAACAGAGATTCGGCGAAGAGTAGCAGCTAGGAATGCACTGATTGAGAGAGATGGAGACTCGGCATTCTACCTAGCAGAGGATGTCTTGGAACGGTATATTAAAGGATTTGAACGGCCAGTTGGAGAGGGGGAGATAGTCATCAACGTGAATTGATTGTCCTGCATAACCCCCTCCTATAATACAATTTGATGCAATGAATCATCAAATGGGGTTAGTCACTTAATCGGTAAGGTCGCTGGCTCGATCTCGGCTTACTCTTTTTTTATTTTATTTTTATTTGTTTTTTCCTTTTGGTTTTTGGCCAGCCAGGCTGGCGTAATCAGCCCAGGGGTCGGGGCAGACCTTACTTAACTGGCTAATAATTGCGACGGGCTTCAGGCTTCTTGGGTTGTTTTCTGGGGCCGTACACTTAACCTCAGGATTACGCACTGGTTTTACGTCGATCAGATGGTCTGTCCGCTGAAATTAGAGTCATTCAATATTTACCTAGATGGGATGTGCAAAATCTCAGATCTCAAGTATCATCGCGCTGGTCGCCTTATTATAATCAGGCCACCCCCCGCGGTGGACTGGATTGGTGTGTCGATCAAGGAGAGTCGGGTACGCGAATCGGTAAAGCTTGTGAAGGACTATCAAGAGTATAAAGCCAAGAATTGCTTTGGATCTGACAAGACTACTCTCCCCTCATTTTCTTCCAGAGCCTCTTCAATCTCCAAATGTCTCTCCCTCTACGAACAATGTGCCGAGATGGTCCCGCGGTCTTTGCCATCGGTCTTGGTTTCGGGAGCATTGCCGGATTCTACGGACCACCTGGTGCCCTTGACGAGAGAGTTGCCGTCTTGAAGCACGCACATGCCACCGGATTGCGCTTTTGGGATATGGCCGACATCTACGGTGACAGCGAGTACGTTGTGAGGGAATGGATCAAACGACCCGGCAAGCGCAATGACGTCTTCCTGGCCACGAAGTTCGGGCTCTAGCGACAGCCTAATGGAAGGTACACTTTCCGATCCGATCCCGAGTATGTCAAGGCTGCATGTGCACGAACCCTCCAGAGACTCGGGGTCGATGCCATTGATGTCTATTACTGTCAAAGGGTGGACGGAGTCACGCCGATTGAAAGGACAGTGGAAGCTATGGAAGAGCTGAAGAAGTAGGTCACCCAGCCTGGATCTTCATGCAATATAAGCAAAACGAGCTTGACATTTGAAATATCTAGACAAGGGAAATTTCGCTATCTGGGTCTATCGGACCTCTCAGCAGCCACGTTACGGCGCGCGCATGCCGTTCCCCTATTACCGCTGTACAGGTGGAATATAGCCTGTTTACACTAGACATCGAATCACCAGTGTCAGAGATCCGAGAGCCTCAGCCAGAATGGATCCTCCCTGGAGTACCAGCTCGACACCAGGTTCTCCAGGACCGCCTTGATTGATTAGCAGATTCTGTGTGTTTTGTGTCACGTTTGTAGCAGCGTGTTGAGTATAGGCAATCGCTGTAGTTCCCCGTGATGGATCCCCATAATTCAAGGGAACCTGAAGCTGTGCGCATGTGTAGTTGTCGAAGCCAGGAGTTCACTACAGATCCGTAGACGGTTCGATCTAATTCTGGGTCAATTGAAGAATTTCAGGAGCGTATTCAGTGGCAGATTGCTCACAGATGCCCAGTCGTTCACCATAGAGGGAGCCTTTTGTGAAGGTAGTGCATAGGATGGACTCAGAAGAGCAAGCAAATAAGCTAGAGTAAACCTTAGAGTCTTCATCATGCATGACCATGAGTCAAATGCTTTGTTCAAAAACTTTTAGTATACGTCAAGTCAGGGGGTGAGGATTGTATCTATGCTCTGCTCTACGTCAGTTGCTCCCACATGAAATATGTGGCCGAGCTCTGATGCTTAGTTCATAACTCTGATCGTCAAACCTGATCCTGGCTGTGCTACTCTATAATCTTACTGTGGTTAGTGGGCTTTCTCGAAAGCTCATTTGGCCCTTATTCCTATAGGAAGCTTAAGATGAACACGGGTAGAATAAAAGACATTACAGACTACTCTTGAAGGAATTAACAGGACGCCTGAAAAAAGGTAGCGCGAATAATAAAAGGGTGAAAACCGCTTCAAGCAGTCTAATATGGTCCATCCTCTCATGGATAGCACAAATGTGTGAATGCAAAGCAAATAACCATTATATATAATAAATCCCATGGTATAATCATACTCCAGAGACATAATACAAGAGACGAACAAGCCGGTGAGCTTAGGAATCAAAAGGAGTCAAGGTAATGTCGCCGTCGTAGGCACACTCCTCAACTATTACCTCAACAGAGTCATTGGTCGAGGTGCACGACCACTTTGTGCCCGGGGCACTGCCATTTCCATTGTCATTGAGAGTGACAGAGACTGTCTCGGTGCCCTTGACCCGCTGCACCGCCAAAGTAAAGACCGCAATGTCGTTCACACCACCCGGGAAATTAACATAGTAGGCACCGTCGTTAGTGCGAGTGCCCGCAACGGGGCTTCTGGGACGATGCCTGCCATGTCTGTTAGAGCACATATTGAATGAAGAAGGGCGATAAATATACCAGATTACATTAGCGCTGGTGGAGTCATCGTAGTTGGGGTCTTTCAGGTTGAAGGTGATGTATCCCTGCTGGTCGGTTTGAGAGGCACTGAGGTCGATGATAGTAATGGCTTGCTGAGTCCGTTTGGAAGGGGCAGCTATAGCAGAGCCGACAGCCAGGAGAAGAGAGCAGATGTTAGCGGCCTTCATTTTGTATGATACGGAAAGGGTGTATAAAGTGAAAAGGATTGGTTCATAGACAGTTGTGCTGGATTGTTTGATAATGATGGTATTCAACTCTGAGGATTATCGTGCTTTTAATAATTCTTCTTGGTCCATTGTCGAAAAGGTGGCTGAATCGACTTAGGGAGTGCAGTCCATTTGCTGTCTCAGTACGAGGTATGCGAACCAAATCTCTTAGCTATGGTTTGATGTCGGACCTCTTTTAGGCCTCCCAAGTATCCCATTAATGGAGCTCACGGGCCTCACGGCTATGTTCCCAATCCAGTGCAAACTAAGTTAGGCTTTTACGAGACTTGGTCGATGGCGCATCTAGGCGTCCAATCATGCAGTCTTTAAATTGGACCTCGGAGAGGCTTCTACGAATCAGAATTTAAGCTTGAAATTGGTATTCGAAATGCTTAAGGGCTAAATATAGACACCAAAACCGGAGTGATATGAATAGCATCGTCGACTATTGCTCAACAGACCGCAACCAAAGGGAGACCGCTAAGATGGGCTGCAGAGACTGGTCGTGGGTTGGGTTTGGGTTGATCCATGCCAATATCCATGCGGGTTGGATTGCCATATCTGATAGTCAGGTGTGTTATGCTCCAGGGAAAGCAACTGGGAACCACGAGAGACTCAGAAGAAGAATCAACCTGGAACGAGCCCTCGGGTTGGACATGGTCCTGTCTGCAGACCGAGTACATATCGCGGTCTCCGTGTACATGCTGCCGGTACGAGGTCCTGCCAGACGAGAGTCACTCACGCTGCGTCTAATCTTATTCGACAAGCAATCCATGGTGTGAGAGAGCATGGTGGCCGACTAGATGTCCGCCTCATTGGGCTCTTCAACCGACATGATCAGCTCTGGGGCGGAGACTCTATGGCGACAATGAGATGACGAAGAAGCCGACTGATTGTTCTGTTCATGGAAAATTAGGCTTCTAGAGACCCCTTCTTCGGGAACAGTGACGTTCGAATTTGCCCAAGGCCGGTTCACACGAGGTCCTGCGCTCGCATCTCTTCACACCTGGAACATGAGATGGTAAAATGCCAAATTCACCCAATTGAACGTGGTCGGACCACAGGGCAATAGAATTAGTCGTCCAGATAGACACACCTACGAGCTATGAGCCGTCGCTGCCTAGTCAGGAAAGCCGATTAGGCACAAGGCACAAGGCGGATCAGTCACCTTCTAGAACCCCAACGGTAATGTTGTGTCCCTGTTGTGTTGCCTACTACTACTGTCATCCCTACCTAGCTAGAGATGGCTGTCTAGACGCCTTTTTGGCTGAGTCATGATGGCACGACAGGTAACAAGCTGGCAGGTATTGGAGCAACTCTTACACCGTCTTGTAGGAGAGGTCGCACGGGCGATGCACCGAAGTACCACCAAGAGCAAAACCATCCGTGCGAAAACGAACGCGAGTGCTGGTAGATTTGCGTGACGAGTACAATCAAGCCAGGAATCAAAGTGTTGGAGCCCATCGCTACAGGTACCTTATCCTCGACCGGAATCAAGAGGACCCTGCGACAACGCTACTATTTAAGCATTCGGCAATTGTCCAGGTCAACCATGGTTCAGCACGACGGGTCATCGATATCAAAACCATGAATAGAGTTCAAAATTTTGTGAAACGGTCGAGTAACCACATTCTCGTGGGCTGTTGATAGTTAGGTACCTTATTGGAGAATGGGAACACGAGGCAGCCAGCCAATAGCAGATTCATCGTCACATGTTCTTGAATCTCATGTGAGTCATGCCACCGTGTTGTGCTTATTCTACTCTCTCCCTCACTCCATGAAATTTTGAGGAAGATAGTTTCGTGACAGGAGACTGAAATCTACAATCAACAAGCGCATCAAGTAGCTTAGGAAGGTCTGTGCAGAGCATCGCGTCGGCTTTCCATACCTCAACCATGGCAGCCCCTCAATCAACGCCACCCCACGTCCTCTCAGTGACGACCTCGGCCTCGCATAACTTCTCCAAGAACGCCGTCTCTTCCATCAAACTCGTCGCAAATCTCGGCGTGGAAGGGGACTGTCACGCCGGCGAGACCGTTCAGCACCGCTCACGGCTCCACATCAAGCCTCCACCGGCAAACCTTCGTCAAGTGCACCTTATGCCAATGGAAGTGTTGCGGGGTATATGCGAAACGCTGCCGACCGAGGAGATGAAGGCACAGCTACTGGCGCCTGGTGCTCTGGGGCAGAATATCACCACCGAGGGTGTGGATCTCTTGAGCCTCGGTGCTGGGACGGAGATTCAGTTTGTTGGAGATGGTGTGGCTGCGGGCGACGAGGCGGTCATTGCCCTTACGGGGCTGAGAAATCCCTGTCCTCAAATTGACAAGTTTCAGGCTGGATTGAAGGACCGGTTCCTGGTTCGTGACGAAGAGCGTCACATTGTCAGGCGGTTGGCGGGCGTCATGGCTACAGTGAAGAAGGGAGGAGTTGTGCAGCCTGGAATGAGACTGATTATTGACAAGCCTCCCCAGCATATCCCGTTAGATGTTGTTTGATGCAAGGCTACTATCGAATCTAGGCCTGGATGCTACTCTACAACTGAAGTCGAAATGTGTGAGGTATTCTCCGTTTCGAACAGGCAGCTATCCGCTCGACTATACTAAGCTGCTCTCCTATGCCTTCTTAGACGATTTATAACAAAGAATAAGGGGACCTGAAATTAAAGAATGCGTGAACGACTGCCTGCCGACCTGTCGTCCTCTTGAAGATTGGACTCCGATTACCTGGGCGGAAAGCTCAGCTGAGAAAGCAAATTATTTCTTAAATCTAATTTCAATTCTGGAATTGGTGACATGCTGTTCTCTGCTTTGAACTCTCCGTGTTGTATACCAGAATCATGCAATCATACGACTGAGATCCATACTCTCTTTGCCGGCTATTCCCAATATCATACTTGCGAGTTGCGACAATTCCCAATTCTCGATAGCTGAACGGCTGAAGAATGTGGGTCCCTGGCTTGGTCTATATCGGAGATAATTCCTCTTGCTCAGAATAAAACTGGCTTTGATAGCCGACACGATGTGGATTACGGTACTTTGCGAACATCTGTTCGTTTATTTGTTGGACTTGACATACCCAGCCAATGACCCCTATATCAGAACTTTCCAAACCCATATACAGATATGTAGCTATAAGGAATATCATAAGTATGAGAGCCAGACCGGTTCTTCGGG